AGTAAAGAACTTCCTCTTTATATCCAATCTAAACTTCCCCTGTTTAAGTTTTAACCCATTATCCCTTGTCCTATCACTACAGTCCCTACTGAATAGTCCTTCCCCAGCATCCTTATAGGCCCCCACAATTCATTGAAATTGATTACAGTTTTCTCCCACACCAGAAACAGCAAAAGGAGACCTGAAGTGACTGCTTAATCGTCTGCATCCTGACTTCAGTTCCATTGCTATATATATATAAATATGATAGTGTGTTAAGAGATACAGTATAACTTCCTGATGTGAACTTGAATCTATATACTCACTCCTGATAAAAGGAGGAAGAACTGAATATTCTACAGGTTTGGAAACATTTCTATACACTTTTCTGGAAGTAGTTTATTCTTCAATAACCGAATTCTATCCTTAGTGAAATACAGACTATTAAGTATTTAAAGTGGAATGTTCATAGATACTTAATTCTTAAACTGGCATATTATACTTGCTTTTTTTTTTTCTTTTTCTTTGGACTGTATCAGAAAACTAATAATTCTAATTTTCTTTTTCTTCTAAGATAAATGAAGATGTAGGCTGGTGTAAGTTAACTACTTCTGATGGGTTACAGCAGCTAATACAAATAAGTCATCCTGGAATCTATGAAAGGTATAAGTAACTTAAACAAGTTAAATGGAAAAGAATTCTGCACAGATCTCTTATATGAAGACATGGTATTTACAGAAAATATACGGAAGGGGGGTAACACCAAACACACCATGATAAAAGCTCTGTGTTTCATCTGGCAAAGATTCAGGACCTTTATGGCTCAGGACCTCTGCATACTGTCATTCCATTATGGTTATTCCAGTAATATCTTTTAAGAAAAGTGACTAGAGCTGAAACTTGGCACTTAGATCAGTGGATAAGGATGGGGGGGGAGAAAAAAATCCTTGTCCTATATAGAGCTGGTACACAGAAGTGGATAGCACTTTATCAGATTTTTGCTTTAGATACTGACTTTCAGATACTGACCTCTGCCTGCAGATTGCTTTCTCTAATCTGCTTGCTCTAATTACAGCCTCATTATGGGAATCATTAGAAGCTTACTGTGCTACTTTTCAGCAAGGAGATATTCACAAACAAAAATTAACATTTGTAAACTATTCATTACAAATCATACAGCTTTGTTATGATTTCCTGTGACAGCACAAATTTTAATATGAAGAAGATTCTAGACAAAAAATGGGAATCAAAATTGGCAAGGGAACCTAGAGAAAAAAGCTAGATTTTGACTCATGGTTTTTCTTTCAGATCCAGGTCTATTGCTTAATGCCTTCAGGTCTTTTTGCTTGAATTACTGCAGCATATTTCTCATATAAGTAACTATTTTTTGTAAATTTTCATGTTAATGTAGGTACACAAGAACAGCAATAAAATGGTGCAGAAGTTTGAATGAAAGGAAGGAGATTCCTGAATATACTGAACACTCTGTAACTGAAGAAAATTGGTATTAATCTTTATCCTGAATAACTGACTACAAATAACCTTTATCCTAAATAAGTGACCTATAAATAAGTTGAAAATAAAATTCAAAAAGACTAATAAACTTTGAATTTCATAGACTGTATTTCCTAAGGGTCAGAAGTAATAATTTTAAGTTCATTTATTTTTCTTTCATTGTTTAAAAAGTTAGCTAAATTGAGTTCTAGCTGAAGCTTGTTTCATTGACCTTCTGCCTATCTTATTTAAAAATCAGAATTATGGTGACTTTGCCAAAGGAGGATTAATGTTATAGAGACAATATCTTGCAAGGTGAAAAAGAGAAACTAGGCTAAGAAAGGCGTCTTTTAACAGAGCACCAAGCAGCTCAAAATAGTACTTTGAACTGCTAAATGACACTTAACATCTCCTGCTAATACATTTGTCCTTTTTAATACATGCTACAAAAGTCTGCTGACATCATATACAAACACATTCAGGTATTAAAAAAGTGGGGTTTATCATTTAAAATGACTACACTTTGTATTCAAATTACAGCAGATTCAGTAGCTGATGAAATAAAAGTTGTATCTGTACATACATACATATAGCAAAGAGGTTGTTTTTAGAGGAGAGTCCGTATTTTTGGTAACACAACTGATTGACAGATGGCAGCCATTTACTTGAGGTATGAAGGACAAAAATACAGCTTGCTTTTTTTTTTCACTTGGATTTTGCTCATCTGATTTTTAGTATTGCTGGAAACTACTAAAAATTAAAATTTGAAGTAGAAAATACATTAAGAGAACTTTTCGTGATACTACATCATTTAATAATCTATTTTTTTTTTGCACAGGTCTGCTGATGTTGAGCTTGAAAAAATACAGAGATTTAACCGTATCCTTTCTGAAAGCTGTAAAGATTTTTTACTTTTACATTGTTGTTTATCTGCATTTTTGATCATCAAAGTCTGTCTATCCTGTTATCACCTTTTATTGTTTTACTCACTTCTTAAGATTATCTTATAAAGCCATTTTTTCTTATTTATCCTTTTATTGTTTAGCTTGTCTGATTTCTGTATCACAGCACCAGTAGTAAAAGCAATGGCAGTGTATAAAACTAAAATAAATAAATCACCAAAAATAGGAAGCCCTTTAATGGGCACTGCCTTAACTTCACTAACACTCACCTGCTGATCTTTTCTTGAAAGCAGGATGATGCAGTTGCCATGGGGCTTGTTGTTACAGCACAGAACCCTTCTGTTTTTTAATTACCCAAGTTCCACTCCACTGTATTCAGATAGCTCAAAAAAGTGTGCTGCACTGCCTCTGCTTAAAGCCACTCTTACAATTGTCTCCAAGCCAGCATTCAATTTGATTAGTATGAAAAGTGCTTGCTGTTGAATGTGCAGTGTAACATCACATAATTTCCTTTTTAAGGTAACTTTTGGATAAATCAAAGTCTCAAAGACATTTTCTATAAATGTTGTAGACATTTTAAGTTATACACTTTTATTTTTTAGCTTTATGTAACTGCCATGCTATGAAATGTGAGACTTTGCAGAATGATGAACAGGAATCCAGAGAAGTATTTTTCTCATTAGGAGGAAGAGTTTGAATTATTTTTTTCTTTCCTTAACAAAATAACCCTAGTTTTATTGGATAATAGCAATGTTCTGGAAGGGACATCTGCTGCAAAAACCAATCCATCTAGTCTTACTGTCAGAAAAACAGAGAATGAGAGTGAGCCAGAAGGAATCAGTGAAGGGTACGTCCTGGAGGCTTTGGAAAAAACTTCCAAAGTAATTCATGATATTGAATCTCTGCTTGCAGCTTGTGGGAGGTGAAGCCCCATGGCTTCATGAAGACCTGTGTTCTGCATCTTCATGGGAATTGTTGCAGTTCTGTCTGAGGAGGCTTCGAGGTGCAAGAGGAATGAAGGCTTAAGGCAGAGTGACTGAGTTGCTGTTGGATGACCAGAGTTTTGTGTTGCGGATAGGCAAAAAGAACAGTGAAATAACAGAGCACAGCTGTATAAATACATCAGGGCTGACCTGGAAGTGCTGTTTTTATACGTAAGAATGTCTGTTTGAATCATGTGATTCTACAGAGGACTGTACAAGGAACTTAAGTTACTGCTCAAGTGGCTAGGGTGGGGATAAGCAGTTTTAACTGTATAAATGCGCTTTTATGCAGATGCATACACTGAGTAGTCCAGTATTGAATAGAAAGCTTTCCAAATGCTTTCTACTTCATGGTTTTGTAGTAAATAAGTATTAAAGTGTCATCAGTGCTTCCTGGTGCATTTTCTGTTACTGGGTGGTGCGTTGTTGTACTGGTGGTGTATAGTGAAAACACAGTAGCCTGCTGCTCCAGAGATGAAGATTAGCAGTACAAAGGCCGAGATCATAGAAAGAAACCTGTTTACCTGTATAGAATCACACAGTCAGCTATGTTGGAAAAGATCTTTAAGATCATCAGGTCCAACCATTAACTGAGGACTGCCAAGTCCACCACTAAACCCTGTCACAGCCTCAGCTATACAGTTTGTGAGCACTTCCAGGGACGCTGACTCCAGCACTGCCCTGGGCAGCCTGTTCCAATGCCTGAGCACCTTCTTCTGTGAAGAATTTTTTCCTAATATCCAACCTAAACCTCCCCTGGTGCAGCTTGAGGCTGTTACCTCTTGTCCTATCGCCTGTTACTTGGGAGACTGACCCCCACCTCACTACTACCTCCTTTCAGGCAGTTGTAGAGAGCAATAACGTTCCCCCATGAGCCTTCTCCAGGCTAAACCCCTTCCTAGTTCCCTCAGCGATAAGACTCATTCTCCAGACCATTCACCAGCTTTTTGCCCTTCTCTGGACCCGCTCCAGCACCTCAATGACTCCACTGCAGTGAGGGGCCCAGAACTGAACAGTGATGCCGCAGCCCCATCACTGCCCTGGCTCTGCTGGCCACACTATTGCTGATAAAGGCCAGCTGAATCGAGTTAAGCTCCATCAACCAGCACCCCCAGGTCTTTTGCCATGAGCAGCTTTCCAGCCACTCTGCTCCAAGCCTGGAGCGTTCCATGGGGTTGTTCTGACCCAAACTCAGGACAAGGCACATTTTTGTCTTGTTGAACCGCCTACCGCTGGCCACAGCCCGTTGATTCAGCCTGTACAGATCCCTCTGCAGAGCCTTCCTGTCCTCCAGCAGTCGCTTCACTGCGACTCCCCCCACCCTGTTTCCCAACACTTCCCAGCACACGTCTCCACACAGCCAACCCGCGCACCGCAGACCGAGCCGACGACGACACAAGCAGCTCCCTCATCCGTCCTCCCAGCCTGCTCCGCGGCCACGCATGTCTCCTGCGGGTCCGGGCCGCTCTGCTTCACCTCATGGGGCGAAGGGGGCTGTTGGCAGTGGTGGTGGCCGCACTTGAGGTGGGTGCGAGGGGCGCGGGGCGGCCTCGCTACAGGCGGCGGCCGCGGGCGGCTTCCCGGCTCCGCGGACTCGGCGGCTCCGAGCGGCAGCCCTTCTCGCCCCGCGGAGCCGGGAAGCCGGCCGCAGCAGCCCGGGCCGGATATACGGGTTGGCTCTTCATGTAAGAATGCGGTGCTTTGCCTGAAGCCAGGCATGTCACTTAGCTGCCAGGCTGCCTCACGCTCCGTTCTTGTGGCAAAGATGACGGCACATTTTTATTTCTTAATGACTGAGGAGATGGCTGATGAGGGGCTTTGGTGGTGGGTGTTGAAGCAAAGCATACTCCTTCTTCAGGACGTAAAAATTTTTGCTGATCGGTGTAATTTCACGTCTGCTTGCCGCATGCCTGTCTTTCCTTCTTCCTCGTCTTTAGTTACACATACTGATTGTATTCTAGTCTTAAATTGGATTAGTTATTTACGATGCAAATGATGTTGTAGTTAATGAGGGTAATGCATAAACTGCTCGTGCTTCTTTTTTTCTTGTTTAGGATGACAGGTGATTTTTTTTTTTTCTTCTACTGGATAGTACTGGGATCTGTTTCTGTTCCTAAATACTTTAAGGATATTTCTTCCAAATGTTTTCTTTTAGGTACATCTCAGTTCCAAAGTACTCATTAAGGAGCAGGTGTGCCGTTTGCTGTCTTGGTGTCTCTTTTCAAAAAACACCTTAAGTTATGGTCCCTGAAAAAAACAATTTATTTAAGTCCTGATTTTAGGGGGGGGGGGTGGTGGTATTTGTTTTTCTTAATTTCCTTGTGGTTTTAATTTCGTTTCTTCCTCAGTAATTTGGTAAAATCTCACTGATCTCTTGTGTGCTTTTGTCTTCTTTCCTGTTCAGCCCCTTTCCACCCTCCAACATCAATAATGCATTGTAATTATCTAACCCGAAAATACTTGCATTACTGGTTCTTCACAGGTCTTTTTCACTGCTTTCATAAAGTGCATAGTTCTACTAATTTTAAGCATTGAATTCCTATATGTATTCATGTACCTGACTTTTTTCTCTTGCTGTTACAAAGTAAGTTGAAAGACTTCTTAGTATCAGCTATTTCCTCAAATACATATTTGCAACTTTGATCTAAATATCTTATTGTGTCAGTAATTTACAATGTTAACTGCATGTTTGCTAAAATTATTTTTATAGTTTCCGTAAGTGAATCTAAATGCATCAGCAAAATTGCATTTTCTGGGTATAGGCAGAGATTATGCATAATGCTATATATATCTCATAGAAAAATGTTGTGAGAAAGCATAACTCTGAGCAGTGTAACTCTGTCAGCTGTTGTGTGCATGTGTTTTATGTAAACCCAACCTAAATCTCTCTTTCAATATGTCGACTGGACTGATCACCCATAGGTTTCTAAGCATTCTGTGTAATACATCTTTTTCCGACTCCTCTTCTAACAAGAATGCAAGCTTCAGAACTGTGCTTTGTCAGATTTGTAGGATAGAAAAGCTCTTGACACTTCATTGTGATATTTTACACTTTACTTGATAATTTATATTTTATTGTGATATGTGTAAACATCACACTTTATTGTGGTATATTTACACCACCTGAAAAGCGTTGTTCATTTCACGTAAAAAATGCATTTTCTACTTTTATATTAGAAATTGTTGTTTCAGAGGTTATTTTGGTTGAACAGAGTTTTGCTTTTTCTAGTCTTGATTTCACTCTTGATCTGCAGAATATTTATAGTTACGCCATTGTACCTGGGAATTTGACTTGATTTTTGCACAGATATCAGTCATTTGTGTCTGTGAAAGGTGACAGAGCCAGACAGTTTAAAAACAGTTACTCCATGGACATGGCTCTCTACTAAGGGTAATCTGAAGCCACGTTTTTGCTTCCTATTCTTTATTCTGGCTCAAATACACCCATTCATATATTGTTTTCCAGTTGGTATTGTTATCTTTTTTCACTATACAATAATTCTCAAATCATACTTATTTTTTGTTACTTGTTTTCCTGTGCACTTTATGCACGTTAATAATATCTATAGCAAAGCAGTGTAAGCCCACCACAGGACTGATGCAGACCTCTATTGCTGTTTGAATTTATAGGTCACCACTTGGAATAGACAAGCTCACTAACTGATGGAATGAAATTAGAAAGAGACCACTTAATGTGACTCACAAATGTTTCATTAGGTGGGAATCTTTGAAGCACACTGTTACAAGTATCTGTTAAAATAGGTTTCCATGTAGTTTGAAATGCAGTTACTTAAAACAGAAGGCTGGGAGTGCATTTTTCTGACTTTATGACATTGGGGTTTATTATCTTTTAATTATTACCCTGTTCCATCTTTAATTAGTGCCCTTCTTGTGTTTTATGGTCGTCTTTTCCTGCTTTTTCTCACAGGGCTTCTAAGCCCTTGCTGAAGATACTTTTAGCTCAATTAAATTTGTTAAGGAATTCATTTAAAATATGTTGCTTCTTTCTCTATTTTATACAATTTTTTAATTTTTATGTATGTTTTATAGAGAGTTTGAAGAGCTCTGTGTAGTATCAGTGCTTACTGCTACCTGGTTCAATTCATTTAGGATGGAACAAATGGTGTTTGGTCTTCTCTGCACTGGACTGCGCAGGCAGGATTCAAAAAGCACAGAAGCTCCATGCTGAGGCATAGACCAGATTTGCTACTGGAATAAAGCAACTGCAATGGGAAGAATATGTTCACTTAGTCCCAGAGTAAGTTGGATTCTGAATACTGGTGTGCTTTCTAAAGGTATGCTGCTACATCAGTTCTTCACAAGTTGGCTTCCTATGACAGGTTTTATGGTAAATAAAAACCAATCTGATTTGATGCTTGTACAGAAGAAACATTTGTAAGGAGATCAACATTTGTTCCTTAAAATGGAATTTATTCAGAAATGTTGGGTGTGTTGTAAAGTCACGTACCAGAAATGGCAGTTCCAGTGTTTCAGGAAGTACTTTGTGTTTACATCTTCCTTCAGGACAGTCATGGTTAACAGACTCTAAACACAATCTACTTTCATCTGTGAGCAAAGTCCATGTATTATTCATGCTTTCTTCTCCTTAAGAGCTTATAAATAAGTAAATCAGTGGGCTTTTTTTCTACAAAGATCAGTGTCAGTATGCATATTTTTGTGAGTAATTCTACAATAAGCAGGCATGCACATAATCTGGAAGACACATTGTAGATTTCTGGGCCTTATAATCAATAACATGTTTAAACTATTATGTGTCATGATTGTTAGAAGTTTTCACTTTTAAAGAAAGTCTAATACACTGGTAAAAGCCCATTTAGAATAAAAATTTACCTAATAGTACTGTGTGAAGAAGAGTTATTGAGATTGCACAGAAATAGCAAACTCTTGGAGAAAAAGGTTTTTAGCTAGGATGTAGGCTTTGAAACTGTGGTCTGTTTCCATGGCTCCACCAAAAGGCAGAATAGGGTAATAGTTGGGAAAGTCAGAAATTATACTGTCCTTCAGACTGCTATTCAGTGTGTTTAACATAATAAAGCTTGGAAATACATCATTTTAACGTATTCCCACTTTTACTTCAAATGTGTGGCTTTTTATGGTATCACAGAAATCAGTAGTTTGTCTCTATAATCCAAGTATCCCATAATTGCTTCTTGGAAGTGCGGTGAGGGTGTCTTTTAGGGCTTGAATTATTTTTGGAATTTCTTTTGAGGTGTCAGATGGTTATTTAGGGACAGTAATTCCCAAGAAATCACCTTCTAGGAGAGAGTTTCATAAGAATTACAGAACATTCATAATTTAAAAAAAAGTTTAAGTGATTATTAATGCTAGTAATAGTGCATTTATTTTCAAATTAAAACAGTCAACTTTTGAAAAGTAAGATGTCTGGGATAGTTGTTTTTTTTTGTTGTTTTTTTTTGTTTTCTTCTGCAAGAAGAGCTGTTGTGAAGGTAATATGACAGACAATAAACAAGTCCTAAAAGTAACAGCAGAGTTTGCTGCTGGAGCACATACTGAGGAGAAGCATAAGTAGTTTTGCTCTGTACGGAGTTAGTTTTTGTTACTTCTGCTTGACTGAATCATTATTGTCTTAGAGTTTGAGATAAATAGTAAAGATATTTTAGTGGTTCTGGTTTTCTTAATGCTTATTCTATGTGCTAGTCTCCAAGCTAAAAGAAAAAAATGTCGCTCAGAGAGGACTACCTGAGTGATAATACATATAATACAATCAAATAGAATACAATAACTGAAATGAAAAAAGAAATCCCTAGGAATATATAATAAAATATTGAACTGGAGTTTTCTTTGCTCAGCTGTAGTAGTGATAAATGCTTTGTGATGTTAGGTTTTTTCTTTAATAATTTTCTCTCTGTTCTTAACAGTTACAGAACAACTGATTATGCAAAGGACAATGTACAGTGTGTGTCCTGATGACATTTTGTGTGATGTAACATGCTTATTGCCATGGCATCTGAGACTGAAAAGGCCCATGCTCTTCTCCAGACTTTCAGCACAGCTTCAGTTATTTCTAGTCTAGGTTTGGGAGTATTTTGCTTTGTAGCAGACAGAGTTCTGCAATTTTCTTTCATTCAGCAAAATGACTGGCTCCGAGCCTTCTCTGATAATGCAGTGCACAGTATACTAGGAATGTGGTCCTGGGCAATAGTGGTTGGACTCAGGAAGAAAAGTGACTTCACTGAGGTCACTCTGGCTGGCTTCCTCTCCTCTGTCATTGATGTGGACCACTTCGTTCTTGCTGGCTCCCTGTCATTAAAGGTAAGTCAGTAGATAAGTGGTTGTGTACTTTTTTTCTTCACTACTGTTTACTTTTTTGTTCTTCTGCCATATCCTAAGCAAAAAAAGTTCCAATTAGATACATTTAGTAGATATATGGGAATTATATTTGATGCAGTTGTTAAAATTTTAAAAACCCTAGAAGTATTTTATATCTGCTGTCAAGTTCTTCTTGCTCTGTAAAAAAGAGTTCTGAAAGCCTTTGTTTATTATATCCTCTGTGTATCACATAATTGCTTTGTTATCCAAGTTAAACAGTTAAGTGCTGCAGTGTGTGCTTTTTGTATAAAGTGGATTATTCCATTTCTGTTTACAATAAGGGATAGAAACATCTGGAAAGTAGATAATTGAGCTGCAGTTTGGTTTCATTCAGTCTGACTGAATAGTACATTTGGTTTTAGCCAGCCCTAAGTATTTCTCCCACAAACAAGCTATATATGAGCTGTCACTGTTAAAAAGGCAGTTTGAGTTTGCCCTTAAATATAGTTCATTTAAAAAAAAAAAAAAGGCAAGTGTCAACTTCTTTATAAACATAAAAAGGTGATTTTTCTCTTGTTAAGGAGTATACATGATCATCATCCACTTGCAGAACTGCTTGTAACAAGAGTTTCTCAGTAGGAGTACTACCAGATTCTGGCATTTTTTTTTTTTGGTAGTGCTCTGGTGGTTTCGGTGTGTTCTGTTCCTCCTTCCCCCTTCACATACCTATATCCCTGTCTTTCTTGCTTGTTGTAGATATGTATGCCCAGATTTTGCTGACCACAACAGTTTCTTCTGTATACTCTACAAAACATTGGCACCTTCTGTAAGCTCCGTCTGTGCCAGACCCAGCCCCAGTTCTCTTAGCTCTGTGCCTGCCATATCTCATACCTTAGGCAGACAGCCAGCTAGCTCTTGCTCCCCATAGCAGCAGCCCTGCCACTCTGCTTGTTACTAGGAACTTGCTCTTGGTTGTAGTTGGAAGTGACCACTGGAAGTCACCTTCTCAGGCCCCTTGCTGAAGCAGGCTCACCTGGAGCTCACTGCAGAGTCCCACTTCTCATCGTATGCAAGATGCTCCAGTCCATTCACACTCTTAGTGGCCCTTCTCCAGACTTAATTGCCAGTAGCTCCATGTATCTCATAGTCGGAAGCCCATCTGGACTCATCTCTCCGAAGGTGGTCTTACCAGTGCTGAGGATAAAGGGAAGCATCACTTTCCTCTACCTGCTGGCAACACTCCTAAGCAGCCCACTGGCCGCCTTTGCCACAGGTCATGTTGCTAGCTCATACTCAGCTTGTATTTAACAAGTTGAATTTCCTCTAACAAATTAAATTTCCTCAAAACAGCTTTCTAGCCAGGCAGCCTCCAGCATGTAGCGCTGCCTGGTATTGTTCCTCCTTAGGCAGCTTCTGGTTCTCCCCTTCTCTTGTACTTCTTGCATATGGAAATACTGTAAAATTATAAAACTATATAAAGAAAAGGAAAGTTTGGTTCATTAAGGAGTCCTATAATATTAACATTTTGGTATGGAATTTAAATCTATAATACTTTCTGTATATATTTCCTTATTTTAAAATCAGCAAATGCAAGTAATGAATAGTTAATTACTAGAAAGTATTGTTAAAGTTTTATTGCTGCTTTATTCTTGCTTTTGAGGTTATTACCAGTATTTTTTTTTAATTATGACCACTAGATGACACTCTTCACCAGTGTCTGTTTAGAAAGTTGGGTTGTGTCAAAAAACTGGGAGGTGACCTGTCTCTGCCACCTTCAGTGAGGTGAGGTTAAATATGCTTATATTTTCCATAATGGAGACTGCTCTTATAGCGTATCCCTAGTATCCCAAACAAAGTAAATAACTGCAGTTTCATGACTTTTTTCCTGTGTTGTTTTGGTTCCCAAGCAGCTAGCAGTTGTTTTCTAATATCCAGCCTAAAGTATTGCTGTGACAGCTAGATCTTGTTTCCCTATTCTTTGTGCCCTCTCTGGAGAAGACAGCTGATTGCTGTGCTTTCCCCAATGCTGCTCAAATCAGAACTACAAGGTATTGAAAGTAGGAGAATAGCCAGCAGTAAGTTAGTAGCCAAACTTATTTAGCTGAGGAAAGGAGAATGCAGGATGCCTAAAGGCTTTTTCATAGCAATTTGCCTATAAACTTCTCCTTCCAAACATTAACTGCATTAATAAAGGATGTTTATCTGTAAATCATGTCCTGTGTATGTCTCTTGACCCTTATAGCAGTAACAGCATTACTTTTACAACTTGCAAAACCATTATGCTTTTCAAAGAGTCTCTTCTTGACTAGCTGGCTTGCAAAAAATCTGAAGGGCCTAGATCTATGTTTTCTAAACCCCTCGCTATTTTTCTTGGTCTCCTCTGTATTACCTTATGCCTAAATTATCTTTAAAGGGTCCCGGCCCAAATTGTGTATAGTATTTTAGGTGAGATTTCATTAGATCCAGATAGCATAGATTAATTCCTTTTAGTGTCGCATGCAACATTTCTGTCATTTTGAAAAGAAAAAAATAAAAACAAAACCAAGTCTGTTACAGGTTTTAAATCTTCTTCCACTGCAATCAGAGGGTTTTTAGCTTGTGATATAATGTAATACGCTACTCTTTACTGCTCTGTTGTTGCCCAGTTAGCTAGACTTGATTGTAATACGTGATTTTTCTTTCTTCAGCTTTATATGATGTAACTTTCAGTTTCATGTAGTAATTTCAGGCTGTTGCCTATATAATTTATTACTCCGTGGAATACTTTTTTACTATGTATTTGTTAGCACCGGTCCCATTCTTCCTCCTTAGATTGCAGAATTGAGAGTAACTGATTTAAGAGACTACAGTGTTTACTGCTTATGCAACACATTCCTAAGTAACTAATAAATTAAGAATCTAATTAACCACACCACTCTTACTAATTTGTAACAACAGTATTTTTCACATTACACAATTACATATAAAGCTCTTCATAATCACTCTTAAATCTGATGATGGGCTCCTTTTTTTAAGTAGGCAGTATTGCCATCTACCTGCAGTTGCTACAGTCACACTCCTCCCGTCATTTCCTGCTGACGCAGCTGGCTGTTTGGATTATTTGGCTACTGGGCTGCTTTTCATGGTATCATCATTATTTTTCTGCAGTATTCAGGTTAAATAGTCACCTGTGGTATTTATATGTTTACTCTGATAAATACTTGTGTACCAAGTAGCATGTGATCTGCCCTTTTGGCCACATTATTTTTTGCAACAAATATAAAGTCTACAAAGACCTTGCTACTTAGAATTTGTAGTTCTTTGTATTCCATTTTTTACTGTGTATTATATGGACATAAGTGTAGAAGAATCTAAGAATTTGTGTTTGAAGAATCTGTGTCATTGACTAGCTCTAAAGGTGAACATTTCTGCAGCCTGCCATCATACTCAGCATTGCTGATAAACAAGAACAGCGTTATGGGCTGTTCCCAGTGTCGCACAGGACTGTAGCCTGAAAACTCATGTTGTAGAACAGATGTGCAGGAATTGCTAGCTTGCTGCTTAAAACTACCAGCTTCTAAAGTGTAGAGAATGCAGTCAGCGGCAAACAAGATTGTACCAGCAAACGTATGTATAACAGCTGGTTAATGTGCCTCTACTGACCAGCCTGGGCTGCACAGGAGGCATTCCTGATATGGAGAATAAGTTTTGCCCACGAACAACTAATACAACATCGAATTTATAGATCAGGCCCAAAACTAAAGACTTCAGGTCTGTGAAATATCATGGAATATGAGTGACGCAGCCCATGTTATTACATAAATTCTGTGGTGTCACTTCGAGCAGTAAAGCAGAGTTAGCTTGGGTTCTCTTGCATGGAATTGTCTCCAGTCTCCAGATGCTCATGGTGATGGGTAAAAGGGGCTGGAGCAACAGGAGCTTCGAGAAGATCTTGCACCTGATTCAACATTCAGGGAAACGGAAAGGTAATTTGTGTTGTGAATAAATTCTGTTTGCAACTGCAGCCTGATCTCTCTCATGGTAGGCATCCCCCTAAATCTACCCAAATCACAGTCATCTTTTTCTGAGAGATTTAAGGCAGAAAAGGCCTTGGTAATCTCTAAAGGCAAACAAGTTAGGAGAAAGTGTGTAACAACTTATATAGACAAGTGGAACATGTCTATCCCTTGGGCTTGTCAACTCAAAGATGTAAATGTTCTCTAGTTACCGGATGGAAAAGAGGTAACAAAGCGTTCTTCTTTCAGAACTTAGGCACAGCATTTCAGACGTTCAATGACTACTGCTATTACAGAATAGGGTTGTCTTGTGCTTAAATTGCACGGTCAATTTGCTGTATGAACAGCCTTACCATCTAAACTTTGTATGAAACAAATTAAAACATCACCTCCCCAAAACTGGATAGAGGTTGGCACTAATACTGATAAATTGCATATGTAATTAACATTTCCATTCTACTTACTCATTGTGTTGCTGTTGGTACCTAACATCCATAGGGCAAATATTGGGAAAATATTCATTTAGACTTTACCACTGAATTTTATAAAGTGCAGGAATAATGACTAGTCAGTAGGATGTCTGCCAGAATGTATCACTATCCAGCGTGGAATTTTTTCAAAATTAGGCTGGTATGAACTTTTCAGACTCTTGTTGACAATAGCAATGACTTCTCTTTGTAGGGTAGCAGCACAAGATTTTTCTGCCTCAGTCCTTGAATTCTGCTTGTATAAAGCAGAAACGAAGTTGTAGAAAATATACCCTTTGCACCAACTTTAAGGACCTGAGTCCATACCACTGCAGTTAAAAGTTGCTGAGACAGTTTATGAGCTTTTTAATTCCGTCACCTGATTGACAGAGTCACAGAGAAGCATGTGGTGGGAACCTAATAGAGCAAAGCTTTCTGTGAGCCTTTTAACGTTGGCATTAGTTTAAAGCACGGGCTGTTATTCTAAGGTGGCCCGTAAGTTTTCATCTCTGATTTGTGGCTAAGGCTACATCAAAGTTTCCTTACAACGAAGACGGTTCCAAGCAGTTGTCTGAATTACTCATAAAAACTTCATTAAGCCATTCCAGAGTCCCACTTCCCGTAGCTGAAACCTGCAACAGTTAACATGGCTGAAGCATTGACAGGTTACTGTCTGGTGTCCTGTAGTAATGCTTTGTTTGCTTTCTGCAGTAGATGCAGTATTCAAACTAACAATCAGATGCACCATTATATACAAAGAGTATGCCTCTGGTGCCTGTTAACAGTCTTTCCAAATGCTCACTGGTATCTGAATTGAACCAGTTAATATTACATCAGCACCTGTATAGCTCTTTTAGTAATGTGCTATCATTTTTCTTATGCTTACAGAAGCAAGGATTTACTTATTTGTTGCTTAGAAAACCGAAACAGGTGTTTTGTTTTGTTTTGTTTTTTTTACTACCTAAATTTGTGGAGATAGTTCTAGCTGTTGCTAGTAAGTACATCTGGAATGTTTTCTCAAGTATATATATTAAATTGATAGCTATCACTTCTTAAAACACTTAATTTTAATCTCACTGGTTAGTCATTTGCCTTAATTAAAACCAAATATCAGGCTTTCAACTGAAATAGTGTTAAACAATTTGTTGATTAAAAAGAACCCAGTCACAAATGGTTCAGAGGTTGGCTTCTGAACTTTTCTTTTACCTGTCTGTAAAGAATACTGTGTCAAGGCAACCAAAATATATGTAACTTAGATGATATTTTTGTTGTATTGGAAGTTACTCTTCTGTTTCAGATGCTGTTCAACTAAAACAGCTTCACAGGTGCTAACCAGTATAGTGGGGTTTTTTTTGAATCATTAAAACATATGAAATATTTCAAGTAGAGCATATTAAATTTTTAAGTGTATTATATGGTTGTTTTGAATTCAAAATTAGAAACATGTAATCAGTACAGCAGACTGTACAAGTTCTGTGTGTACAAGGTTCCACATGCCTATCTGACAGATAGCACAGCTCATCCCTCTCCCTCCCTGTTTCATCATTGGTAATGCTTCATTGGATGCGTGATTCATACCATACAATAGAGAGACAGCCCAGTAAACAGCTCTCATATGTCTAAATAATCATGTTGGTTTTGGTAAACTACAGTGGAAAGAAACAGTGTGTTTTTCTTTGCACTTGCACTTAGCCACTTGATAATACACCTGTAAACATCCGTGAAACATTTCTTTTCTTGTCACAATTGTACCTATTGCCAATTACATTTTTCTTTTCTGCAGGCTGCTCTGACTCTTCCACGGAGACCATTTCTTCACTGTTCTACTGTGATTCCTGTTGTGGCTCTGACATTAAAGTTTATTATGCACCTTTTCAGGCTTAAGGATTCATGGTGCTTTCTTCCCTGGATGTTGTTCATATCCTGGACTTCTCATCACATCCGTGACGGGATTCGTCATGGCCTCTGGATCTGCCCATTTGGAAAAACTCCTCCTTTGCCATATTGGCTCTATGTGGCAATAACAGCATCTTTACCTCATCTATGTTCATTTATTATGTATTTAACAGGCACTAGAGAATTAATGTCTATAAAACATGGAATCCGCATTGATGTTTAAGAATGAAGTTTCTTAAAGGCTGTTAAGGCTTGAATATTTAAGGACTGTGTGAAGGCAAACTTACTTATTACAGTAAACAGAAGCTTTAGGGAAAATTTGGGAAGATTCAGGAAGATTCAGATATGAGAAAATTAAAATTGCTCAAAATGTGAGTTTGCTTACAGACCTTACTGCTGTCCTCATAAACAACATTTTCCATTAAGTGCAATGTCATCCATAAAATTCAGTATTATTACATGGAAGTATAAATTTCCTCATAAACAAGTTCTCTAACAGAACATGTTACTGTGTTGCATGTTCATAATGTAGTAATTTGTGCTGGGATCTATTCAGTTTTCATTTACAGAAATTTCTCAGAAAAAGTCCCAAAGTAAAAGTATAGCTCTTGTCTAGGTTACAGTGTACAAGCTGAGAATTGTCTATTAATCATTGTTTTACTAATTTTTTTGTTCACTGAACTCCATTGGCCATTAAGGAGACGGGACCTTAATTCCAGTTTGTGATGAACAGCAGTCAAAAGGGTTTATGTTTATAGAAGAGCATATATAGGGTAGCATGTGCTGAGCTGAAGTTATCAAAGGAAGTAAAGATGAGGTGATGTGTTCATACGACACTTATGTGGGTAAATACATCTTAGTATAAAGTGCTAAGAAGTTACAGAAGATACTATCTGGGATGACTGGCTTACTGAGTACCAGCGACCTATGGCTGCAAAGTACTAGAGGCTGGCTGATGTACGCTAAGCTAATTACAGAAAGCGTTTCACCTTTTAAAATGTGCCTTCCAAATAGTCTCTGCCCTATATGTTCTTCATGTAAGAAAGGTATGCTTAGGGAAACAATCAAAACTCTGTTGGTTTAGAGCCGTCAAAGCAGGAACTGCCTTTTATCCAAAGGTTTAATGGTTTAGAAGAGGAGGAGTTCATGCATTTACTTCTAACCTGTATTTTAAACTATAAGGTTATGAAATTCCAGTTATGAATATATATTGTGCAAGAAGTGAACACTTAAATCCTTGCAGCAAATTTTCTGAATTCTTATTTATAGTATAATACTCATATAATTTTGTGCTTTATAATATACAGGTCTGTTGCAAAGGGAAATGCATATAGGAACAAAGTGGAGAATTGCATTTTCTCATTTTTAGATTGTAGCTGTAGTATTTTCGGTAACTCTATGTCCACCAACAGTCCTTAAGATTGGTATGGTACTGTAATGTCCTGGCGATGTTAAAGGTGTATCTTCAGTAGTTTAAAAACACATATTTTCATTCTCTGTATTGCGATTTTTGTGAGGGCTTTTTACAATAATTTTCAGCTGTGTTTCAATATCTTACTTTTTTGGTCATGTTCTTGTACCAGTTCTACCACAGCAACAGGTGAATGCCACTTAGAAATATATGAAGGAAGGTAGCAAGAACATGTGACACTTAAATTCTTTCTCTCCCTGCAGACCTACCTGGCAGTCTCACATCCTGGCCTTCAGGCAACTTCACCTCAGGCTGTTGACAGCTTTTCAGAGTAAACTGACAGGTTGCATGTAATGCTGTAATTTGTGGGTACACAGATTAGAGAACAATGGTGAAGTTCATGTCACCTAGGAGATACACCTGCCTATTAGGAATGAATTGCCTAACAATTCCTTGCCAGTGTTTCATGTGCATTTCAAATTCATTGGTATTTACAACTATGCATTGATACCTACCATGTGTAGCAAAACCATGGCAAAAATAAACCAAGACACTAAAACCATAATGAATTTGTGCTTTTACTGCATCCTTTACAGTAAAGGATAAGTGTGAAGTACAAAAAGCATGTGAATTACACAAAAAAAAAAAAATGTTAAAAAGCTCAAGTTAATTCTGTGCACAATTCATGATACTAAAACAATAGTTATTTCAGTGGTTCATTTGCTATGCTAATCTAAACTTTTCCATGTATTTTCAAGTGGTACTTACCAAGTTGAAGAAAGTGTGGTGGTTTCCTTTATTGTTAGAACTTTGCTGCTTTTTTTCCTGTTTAATGGACTGCTATTGTGGAAAGTAGGTACTAACAATTGCCAAGTTTTAAAGATAAGTGTTAGAATGCTTCTTCTCCCCAGTCCTCCAGAAACAAGGCAAAATTTTTCCTAATGTCCCAGTGGCCTTAACAGAAAGAGTAAACACATTTCTTACCAGTTTATATTTAAAATGTAATCTGTATTTTTCACTTGACTCCTGGTACCACTTTATTCTACAGGGAAGTGTATTGCATCATGTGCCTTTAATTGGTTATTGATAAGTGAATTATTCATAATTGGTGCTGTGCTTCAAGGGAGTTTGCATTAAGTGGAAGTAATCTTAACAGCCAGGCCATTGGTATTAGTTTATTACTAGCAGAACATTTCTTTTGCTAATGGAAATAAAGTTCCAGAATGAGGGAGGGAAGGGGTTAGAATTCAGTCTAAAGGAAATGTTAGTTCATAGTTAATTTTGAACACATATATTTTTATTCCATCAGCTACTATCAGTATGAAGCTAAATGAAATGCATCAGAAGAGTACATTTCTGTTTAATGGAGCCAATCTGTATTCTGTCAATTATGTAAATTTATTCAGGACAGAGTAAATGTTATATTACAGGTGTTGCACAGCACGGGCTTTGTTCAGCCACTAATTCTGAATCCACGATCCAGGTTTTGTTTCCCTGCTACAGGCAGACCTTGCACTGAAACAAAGGAAGGGCTGTTGGTTTAAAATACACTTTGCATCTCTTAAAAAACAAAAAAACAAAAAACCACCACAATAATAAGGCTTTTCTTCAAAACAGTAAGTTGGTTACTTCAGTTAGTTATTAAAATTTTCCACATTTCATGGCCTCTACACTGAATTCTGTATTGTAGAACTGTTTTCTATTACATATAACATAGACCCGCTATTAAAGATAAATAGTACTTGTATTTATATATCTCACACACTGATCTTTTGGTCTGTGTTTATATAATCATCTTCTATTGCTTAACCTAATTTTGTATCAAATTTACCTAGGGTAAGGAGGAGTGTTTGTCTCAGTGACTAGGAAACACAGGTATGCTATTAGTTAGCAAAAACATTTTAATGCAGTGTTAAGAAAATTTCAGAATGTTGAAAATAAATGATGCTGCATTCTTTTTGTTTGAAATGTTAAGTAGATTTCTAAGCAGCTTGTAGAAACAGATTTGTTTAATCAAAACGAATTGACTGAAAACATTTGTATTAGTAAATATGGGGGAACAATCTGTGTGAAAATGGATTTGTACCCTGAAACTGTTGCAAGGGTAATTGAGCAAGTCAGACTGTATGCTGTTGCCATGTCCACCACAGAAACAATTCCTTTGTCCAAGGAATGATACTAATGTCCCTGAAGCTTTCCTCAGGTTGCCAAGGGAACTCAGTCTTACTTTGATCTTAGTCTTTCACTTAAATATTGTGTCACACTAAGGGCTCCTGGACTGGTGTGTGGTGGTTTCCTTGATGTGCTGTTCACTCCTTCCCAACAATCTTACAGATGAACCAAAAAAGCTGGTAGTTGTGAGTGCTGGTACAGGAACTGGGTAAAGAAATGAAACCAAAGACAGCAGATGTAACACTGGCACAAGGAATTTACAAGGTTATTAATGCTGCTAGTTTCACTTTTATGTTTCAGTTTAAATTGCAGATAGTCGAACAAAACCAACTTCTTTTTATATATTACTGTCAACAATTTAGAAGCAAGTTTTGTGATGACTGCTCTAAAAGCCTGAAGTGTTTCTGGGATAAATGAATACTGTAAGATTTAAGTAATAAGGCTTTATCCATCTATTTTCAACAAAAGCATTTATGTATTTTTATTCATGTAACTGTGTATAATGTATAGACACAGGTACTCATTTTCCTGATCTTACCAAGGAAGCACGTTTGGAGAGATTTGATATAGAATACTCTAGATAGCAAAACCTTTTAACACAAGTAATTTTTGTTTCATTAGTCCTTGGAGAGATAGATCTTCCCTTTTTCTAGACATGTTTTGTTAATGTGAAAGTTTTAAGTGATTTACAAGCATATTTTGAGTGAATGTTCTGTATTCCTTGTACATCAAACATAAATAAGCCAAACAAATGCACTTACAACTTCGTGCCATGAAAATGTACGCACATTATTTATCATTTTTTTCCCCAAAGTAAAAACAATTTAACGTGCTCTTGCATCTTGCTTCATCCGTCTTGCATGTCTATGTAAAAGTTGACCAAATGGCATTTCTAGTAGTTTTATATGGGTACAGAGACAGTATAGAGCTGCGTTTGTGCTTGACTTAACTTCAGGTTAGATGAAAAGCTTGCTTCTGCTTCAGTGTACCTGACCCACATACCTCAGCTGGATTCTGCAAGACTAGATGGCAGACATCTGTCTCATCACAGAGTCCCTTTGTATTCAGCGTGTATCTAGTCTGTCTGTTGGTGCTTGAAACATGATTCATCTCTTCCTAAAAGAGAAGTCTACTTCTGTTCTACTAAATTGCATTCTAGTCACCACAGATTGTATTTAATTGGAAGGTAGGTGGCTAAAATTGAGGTTGTAGATTGGGCTTGTCTTCCTATCATTCACCGTGATTTCCTATTGCTGAAGAAGTGAACTGTCTTTTCAAGAACTCTTTTATCCAGATGATTTCTTAATATGCAGAAAAGCATGAAAAAGTGAAACAACTAAAGCCAAATCCCATGAGTCACTTCATGTAACTTCTAGACTGACACATTTCAGCTTTTAAAACTGAATTGTAGCTTTTAAAACTGAATTGTAGCTTTTAAAATGCAGAACAAACGTATTGTAAAATTAGCTTATTTTCTTTTTCAAAATCTAAATCTGTCCAAAGCCAGGAGATTCTCTTTAAAAGATTAAACCATTGCAGTTAATATATTTATCATGGCTGAAATTTCCAGTGCCAAGTCCTTGCTTCAGTTTGTATTTCCTTGAAAAAATAACATGGCTCTGGCTGCAGCGTATGGGAACTTAGGCTAGGAACATGAAGTACTGTAAAAGTCTGAGCCTCTTTCTCCTTTGGAAGTTGATTTAGAAGAGGCTCTACAGCAGAGCTTCTACTATGTACTGTCAGTCTCTTGTAATTGCAATATATGAAAGTGGATTGTCTGTTATTGTCATGATAAATATTTATTGCCATTAGGAATATCTGATACTATTCTCCAGCCCTTCCAAAGAGATGTGGGTTGTACTTG